TAAATATTTTCAAAGTCTTGGCGAACACCTCCTGGGATGCAGAACGTTGCTCTATGCTTCGCATTTACAGAGCGCTTGTCCGCTCTAGATTGGACTATGGCTCCGTTGTTTACGGATCCGATTGGTCTTCAATGTTGTTAAAACTAGATCCTGTTCATCATCAAGATCTGCGGATTTGTTCTGAAGCTTTCAGGATATTTCCTGTCCAAAGCCTTTATGTTGACGTTAACGAACCATCACTTCATCTGAGGCGTGAGCAGTTATCCCTTTTGTAGTGTTTTAATATTTTGTCGCAACCTGAACATCCTAATAAGCTGTGCTTTCTTTATAATAGGTGTAACACTTTATTTCAAGCACGTCTTCTTTTTGTGTACCTTCTTTTCCTTTAAGAGTTCGCTCTGTCGTTGAGTAACTCTCCCTGTCTAATATATGCTCCCAAGCAATGCAGAATTTTGAAATCCCACTTTGAGAAAGTGCAGAGATTCAGCTTCTTGATGTTTTCGACCGTCACGTGAAGGCAAGCACTAACAAGATCGTTTACAGACAACTCTTTGCTTATGCACTTTACAGGCATAACTATAGCAGTTATCATCCGATATATACAGATAAATTTAAGTCAAATGTTCATGTTGGGATGGCATTTCTAACTTCAGATCACATAGAGGACAAATGCCCAGGTCTGCTTATCAGGTTTTGTGTTCCTCTTTACTTGCTTTGGAAACATGAACTGTCCTGACTCGGAACAGGGAGCTTACTAAAGCTATGTTCAATAAATTGTGAAGTAGACAATACACACAGGAAGGGTATACGAAACCCTTTATTTTCTATCTTTACAGCGATTTCCGGACTTCGGAATACAGAGACTAACCACTTGTGGTCTGAACGTAAGAATATAAAAATACTAACTAAAAACTCTAACTAAACTAACTTTGGATTAATATACAACTGCCTAACTTCAAGATTGGCCGTTATTTAACAAAAATCCGTATGTAGTACAGAGAGCTGCTAAAACTACGATACGTTTGAACTTATCAAGAGGATTAAACCTCTGGCCTTGAAGGCAACCAGCAACCGAGTAAAACTACTATGGCAAGCGGCCTGCTTCTAGTAACTCCTTCCTGTCTCTCTTGCTTGGCAAAAAGCCACAACTTAAGTACTTGGCGTTAGCAAGACAAATTTGCACAAATAAGTTAAAGCTTTTAATTCTGGCCGGAAGTAGAAAATAAGAAGTGATAGTAAAGATTTAAAATAAAATAAACGTTAGTAAAACTTAGGATCCTTACATGCTTACATACAATGTTTTAAGTAATAGCTTTTTTATGCTATTCTAAGCTGTGCTGCATAGCTCAGTGCCTCTTGTGGACAAGAAGTTCGTTATAATTATAATTATTTTCGGAGATGGTTGTTCTTTGTGGCGTATCTAATAAAGGGAGTCACTTCACTCTCTGAATTCAGGACTTTTAGATGATGTTCAGCTGTGAGGGGGCATCTGAATATATAATGTTCGGGACTGCCTCTATCTCCACATAGACACTGATCTGAAGTTGCTAATTTCCTTGTATAAAAGTACGGGGGAAAAGGGCCATGTCCTGATAAGAACCACGTTATTTCTCTTGTTATTAAACTGGGTGCTGTGCCTACTTTTGGAAACAACTGTTAAGTCCTTCTTCCTTGTTCGGCGTTGTCCCACCAGTTCTGCCATTCAGTTTAGATTTGTTGCTTATGATTTTTTAAGGTGCGAGCCAGGCCATGCTACTGATAGATTTTGTGCATTTTGACCCCTAGCTGCTTCTTTGGCTAGGATGTCAGCCTCCTCGTTGCCTTTTGTCCTTGCATGTGCCTTCAGCCAAGTGACAAAGAAGTGTTTATTTTGTGATGCTGAAGTTCTTTCTGTAATCTCCTGGATTAATTTTGATCGGTGGCGCGAGTTTGCGATGGCATGCATCGCTGAAAGATTGTCTGTAAAGATATGTGTTGCTTTTATGGAGTTTGTGATGCTGTATTTTATTGCTTTAAGGAGCGCTACTGATTCTGCTTGGAATATACTATTTTATTGATCTAGATGAAACTTCTGTTCTGCTGTCAAATTGGTACCTAGGTAGATTTTGATTGCGCTGCCTTTACCTTCTTCTAGGCCGGAACCGTCTGTATAATGTTGGAGGAATTTCTTTTCGCTTGCTTCTTTTCTCATGCTTAATGTGATATTATTTTTCTTTCCTCTGTGGTGCTCATATGGGTATGGCGGTGTCTCGTAATTCTCTGCTAAATGTTCTAATGATTTGTAGTGACACTTCTTTCGTAGTTGTAGTACTATTAACTTATGGATTCTTGTTCAGCGCGTATAAAAAGTGGTGTGCTGTTAACGATTTGGAAGAGTTCCACATTTGATATTGTTCTGTAGCTCCCTATGTAGTCAAGAAGGAAGGGTCGCTGGATTGTATGAAGCTTTTTTTTTTTTTTTTTTTTGCTTTCTTTTTGTCATTGGTTCTGCCCATATGGCTACCCCGTATAGGGCTTGGTACATTTGTCCACCTTCTTATTTTATTTAGTAATAATTTCTTTTAAATTCATCAAATTAGATCACATTACCTCGCGTTTGGCGCATTATACTCATCTTTGGCTTTGAGCCAATAATCTCACTCCGTCACTGATAATATCTGTCACCGCGGTACCACCAGATCCGGATATAAGGATCATAGTGTTTTAGACTGAATTGGTAGATAATTGTTTTAGACAATGCGGTAACATTAGTTTGTCAACTTTTAGGGTTCAGCACATCATTTTAGCCGCATTCACCTATGGTATAGAATTGATTGTAGTCGTAATAGAAGCTTTGCGAAGATTCTCCTCTTCTGTAGACAATTTCGAGTAGTACATGCTGATACAAGTTTTTTGCAACAATCCCTAACTTTTTAATTAGATTATAGTTGTGCTATCCGTCCCTGGCATGCACATAACATGCAGTCTTCTTTGTTCTTCGAACCTCAATAAGTTTGGTGCAGTCGTTCCTTTTAGTCACTTCATCCTTCCTGCGCCTCAGCCCCCAGTTCCATATTCGTATCAGTGTGGCTTGATTTCATTCAATACTAATCGAATCGAAATCTCAGAAATCTAATACAGTATCTAAAAGCCACAATTCTTCTTTTAACTTCAAAAACATATTAGAAAGAGTGCCGTAAATTTTTATGAAGTATGCTGTATCTTTCTACGCAAAGTAATAACAGGAAAAAACACGCAACTCCAGTAATTAAAAGATCCAGTGTATTAAATACATTTTATTTTGTCGTTCCTTTCGATTAGATCGAACTCGTTCCTTTGAATACAATATCACAAAATTAAAATAGCCAGCAGTAAGAGGAGAAAATATATAACAGACGTTCAGGAAAAATTCTAGATGAAGTCTACATGACTTGAGAGTAACCTGCTACTCTCCCTTTTTATAACGTAAGGATCGTGCAATACTGTCCATCGCATATCCTATTATCGAGTTTAGGCGTGGTGTAGATTTCAAGTTCTTTGGATGCTTCCTTTATGGTGCTGTGTTTTGGATGGCCATCAGTGTGCACAGAAGATGTGTCTTTGCTTATCAGACATTTTATATGTGAACCTCACGTACGCTGGCATACATAAATTGATAATAACATCCGTACATGTGTGCAATAGCTGCGCAAGTGTTATGGAAGGCAATGTAAAAATTCGCTGAACCTACTATGAACATATGCGACATACATGAATTAAGGTTGCATAGATACGCAGTCATTTTATGCACATTAAAAATTGAAATATATTACACAGTAAATTGAAATACTGTTAATCAATTTATTTATCAAATATTATTTATTTTAAAGAAGATTTCCCTTGAATAAATGAGGACACAAACATATTCCGTAGCGCGGAATCAAGCATGCACATTTCTGTTCGCTATACTAACAGGTACAGGTACAAGGCATACATAAATTGTACCTGTACAATTTATATATGCCAGCGTACGTGAGTGTTTTAGAAATTGATGAAAAATGGGACGGGGTAACCGCTTCTTCACTGAAAAAAACATATTCTGCTAGGCAGGTAATGCATCGGCTTACGGCTTGCCTAGTTTGCGCTAAAATTGACTATAAATGTATAACTCTATCTTTTTTGCCTTTATAGAGATAATGACATATACATAGATTGAGAAGGAAATGTTAATTTTTACGAAATTTATTTACAGCAAACCGATAAAAATATTCACTTGACGTAACTTAACTTCTGCCACTTGCGGCCTGATTAGTTACAATATTAAATACTAACAAATCGGCTTCCTAAGCTAATGCGCCTTCTTTCATAACTACAAGTGGTAAAAAGCTAAAAGCTAACTCACAAGCAGTACATCAGTCTAGAAAGATTCGTTATTTAAAATTACTTATTAATTTGTATTTCCTAGTAGAGTAGATGTAAGAATTAAAGTTCAGGAAAGATTCTCTTTGACAAATAGCACGTTAGTTAAAATAAAGCTTACAGTTGTTTCCTAGTGTGGGGAATTATTTAATGATAGTAACAAAAGATGACTTACATTTTGAATTTGTATCTTATTTCAAACACAGACCAACCGGCTAGCAAAAGTAATTCCGAATAATTTAGACAGTGTAAGAAAGATAATGTTTAATTATAATTTATTTCTTAATATATGAGTAATAATAACAAATAATAATTGATTTAATTTCAAATTCATTGATAATACTAGTTTTAAGATTTTTATGCAGCCTCTGCCCGGTGAAATTTTCATTAATTTCAGGAAAGACTTTCGTTTTACACTTCATATTCTCTATGCCGCATGACCCAAATCCATTACTTTTCCTGCGTAATTTTTGGTCGTTTGTGCTTTTATCTGTTTTTAAGGCTTACAAAATATTTTTTTGCTTAAATTAACATGCAATGCAATATTTCTTCAAATGTAGAATGAAATAATATTTTAATAAAATAATATGTGGATTTTAATTATTGTTTCTTTTATTTTACAGCTGGACAAGTTATACAAAAGCAGCATATATAAAAATATTTTCTACCAAACGGAAATTTTAGCTTTGAATAAGTAAGTTTTTTCGACTCTTTAAATAAATTCTTTATAAGAACATATTAAGAAGTATTCTAAATGAGATGTAACAATGGAATTTAAAAACATGGCATTTTTAATGTAGGAAATATCTCTTAACCCTGATAATAGATGTATTGGTAAAAAAGAAAGGAAAATAGTTACAATGTAGCAGAAATAAGAGCCTCGATTGGCATTTAAACTAGAATTTATTGCTTAATGCTAAAGTTGCTCTCATTAGTTGAACTATCAAAGTTGGCAGTTAGCTTCGAATAATTTCTGGTTAAGAACTAGATACGAAGTATGCGAACTTGATGACGTTACTTGAGTGATGTGAGCATTTTAATTGTGTCACGATTCCATACACTGAATCATATCTGCATGCAAACACAAAATTGTGTATTCTGAGATAGATGCAAGGATCATTTGTCTAAACGAGGAAATGAAATTCATTGGCTTCGGAAGTATTAACATATTTCCTTTCAGAAATCATGCATGTTACGAACTTTAGTTTCATTTCGAAATGCAATCATCTTCAAAGAAATTCTTTTACATGCAACATTTCGTCTGTTTTCAAATTAGAGAATTACTTTAGATTAAATTTCATTTTGTATATACTTTTAGAAACAGAATAAATACAGCTTTCTAGAGATCACAGATATTTTAAATTTTCTGTACTTATTATTTCAGTAATTATTTTCTTCCTCGTCTACATAATATCTTGCATTTGAGCTATAATGTTGGAATGTATACTAAATGCGTTAGGATCAGTTTCGAAGACTATTGTGATTTGTGACAATTAAAAATAGAAAATATTTCTATAGTTAAGAAATGTTTGCATTGACAAATTAGGAATTTTTATGTAAACGTATGATGTGGATATGTATCGGATTTTTCATTTAAATAATACGCTATTTGAAATATATTTTTTAAAACGGTGAAGGTTTCTTAGGAACATATACTGTATGGACAGACATCACGTAAACTAAATTTATATTTAGGATGATATTATCCAAAATAAGAAATCTCGGGTGAACATATTCTTCAATACCATTAACTTTCGTTGTAATGGCTATAGGAATAAGTATCAGAAAAAGGTTCAGTTATCGTTCAGTGCCCTATTGTAGTCTTCAACAAGTTATAACATTTGCGCACAATCTATGAATAAACTATAAAGCAGTATTATAAGGTATTTCTACCGCCTTCTTAGTATGCCTTCGTGGTGCTGTGGTCAGCACGCTCGATGCGAATTCGCGAGGTCCGTGGTTCGAGTCCCGGGGAGAGCACGTTCATTTTTCACATCTCCTGATTCCAAAAATTCCTAATGACTCTACAGTGGTGCCCGAACTAAAAGGTGGTGAATGATGATACACCACCAAGATTTGGCGACTGGGTCCTCTAAACCCCAGTATCCCTTTAAAAGGGAGAGTATATAAGGTATTTCTCTCGCCTCCTTAGTATGCCTTCGTGGTGTAGTGATCAGCACGCTCAACACGAATTCGGGGGGTCCGTGGTTCGCGTCCCGGTGAAGGCATTGCTCATTTTTCATCTCTCCAGCTTTCAAAAAATATACCTAGCGTCTCTACAGTATAATTTATTATATTTCTCTTTTTGGGGTTGTTAAGATGCTTAAAATAGATTATGTGAAGCTCACAGACGAGAAATTCGAGCTTAGCAATATGTATAATGCAACATTAAATTAAGGAGTAGAGAGAAAACTATTAATTGGATCTCAAGATAGGATGATCACAGGAGAGATGAAAAATGAGCAATGTTTTCGCCGAGACTAGAACCTCAGACCTCTCGAATACGCGCCGAGTGTGCTGGCCATTACACCACGAAGGCATATGCTAAGAAGAAATACTTTATACCATGCTAAGGAGAAATACCTTGTATACTCCCACTTTTAAAGAGCGTCTGGGAATTAGGGGACCCAATCGGCAAATCTTGCCGGTGGAGAATCATCACCAACCACCTTTTTAATTGGGGCGCCACTGTTAAGACATTAGGTTGTTTCGAAGCAGGAGAGATGAAAAATGAGCAATGCCCTCGCCGAGACTCGAACCACGGACCTTTCGAATACGCGCCGAATGTGCTGACAACTACATTCCGAAAGCATGCTGAGAAAGTGGGAGAAATACCTTACATTTCCCCCTATTAAAGGGCGGCTGGGGTTTTAGGGAATCCAGTCACCAAATTCTGAGTGTGGAGAATCATTTTCCACCACCCTTTTAGTCGGGCGCCACTGTAGAGACATTAGTTGTTTTTGGAAGCAGGAGATGTGAAAAATGAGCAACGCCTTCGCCGGGAATCGAACCACTGACCTCTGGAATACGCGTCCAGGAAGCAGACCACCACACCACGAAGGCACGCTAAGAAGGCGGGAGAAATACCTTATAACCTGATTTAAATTATCAGTAATTAGATTCCAGTTAGTTGAAACTCACTCCGGGTGAGTTTTAGATCTTCTGGGTCTGTTTAGTTTGCAGCAGAAAATGAGCTATAACAAACTCTAACCTGCAAAAGTAGTGGTAGCTGCAATTGTATTTCATTCACTTCAAGTCAATCGTCATTCAATAATTTTTGCTATTCTTTAATACTGCCTCCTCTGAAAAAGAATGGACGGGTAAAAACGGTCGCATCAACAAGCGAGGAAAATCTCGTTAGAAGAATTACTTGTAAATTCTACAAGACCAATTTACGTTATTTTACTGGGTATTATTAAATCAGAAAGTACATAACATGCAAGAGCAATTTATTCGTCTATCATTCTCACACTATCAGAATTTAACGCTTTGATTTTAGAATAAGTATTCTTGACGATTTGCGGTTTTTTCAATTCGGTAAATACTAAATTGGTCAGACGTTATTTGTGTTCTAAATCCCAAGAACTTACGGAATTTTAATATTACGTTGTATATACTTGTCATTTTTATCTTGAATTCTATAAATTTGTGAAAAACTGCCCAAAAGAAATTTTTGCCGTAAATCCCTGAATGCATAAAGCTTTAATGTTTTCATTGATAGTAGTTTTTGAAATAGCGGTCTGTAACAAACGATGATTTATTGCTCTGTCTTAAGAACAAGGAATATACTTGAAGTGATAAGTTACTGTATTACAAACTGTACTCCAAGATTTCTGTTGCAGGGAATAGAAGACAGGTTGATTGATCTGACATCAGATGGCACTTTGAAAAATGACTTTCATAGAAAATGTATTTATGACTTTTGGATGAATTTCCGCACGGGATTCACATCTCAAGCAATCAAATCTATGAAAAAGTTTTTTGTAAGTTTTTGTTGCGACTTATGGTGGAGAGCTGTATATTCCCAATGCGTTTAAATGTAAGGAAGACATTGGAAGAAGATGATCACATGGTACTGCATTATACGGAAATAGTGAGTGAGTAAAATTTTATAACAGGAAGAAGACCGAGGTCAAAAATGGAAATGCACGTCAGATTACTATAAGGTTACCCAGTACACGTGAACTATAACGCAGTAATTTCCTGGGCTGGCTGAATGTTGTATTTTCGACATGTCTCAGCTTATCCTACGACACAAATTGATAAAACAAATAAATAAAATATTTATATGTACTTCAGCTTTAATTTGCAACTGAAGGAAACAACAAAAGTTAGTTTTCATTGCTTCAGACCTCACTACGCAATAACAGTTCAATTATTTGTAGTTCAACTAACCTGTGCTAATACACCTACTCACTTAACTACGAATGAAAAGCTAACTCATCTAACTAGTCAGATAGCACTTGAACAAGTTGAATCACAATCACCGCATTCGGGCTGTAAATTTTCAAATCGCTTTTTCTAAAAGTAGCTCATTCTTGTTAGTTAAATTCAGGAGCAGACAATACGGTAGAAATGCAGAAAAGATTCAACATAGGGAATAAAGTGTTAATTAAAATAAAACTTACAAAAGGGTTGTAGTTGAATAATTTCTTTTAGCCCACAGGTGGCGAACGGATAAGAGCACGAGATGCTGATAATTTCTCCTTAGTTCTTCACCGAAGTCATTGAGTGTTCAGATGTCTTAGGTGTATTAAATTACGTAAGTACACAAGTATTTAAAGTAGTATATTTTAAGTGGAAACAATTAAAAATAATTCACATTAATTTGTTGAAATCTTAGATGCTCTGAGTAGTATCAAGTACACATGCGGGATTAAGATATTTGTACTTTATATATATTCTTTTCCTTATTTTACATGCTTTTTAAGAAACAAAGAATTAAAGGCAGAAATAAATTGAACAGATTTTAAATAATAAAATTTTGCAATCTGTGTAAATCAATTAGTAATTAATGAATCCCTTTATGTATTCCCTTTATTGTTTCACTTTGTTGATAGTCTTACTGGACAGATGCAACTGTTTTGGCAAATGATGAATGACCTGTCACTGGATAATATTTCTAAATTTCTTTAGGATTTTAAATGTTTAAAAAGCCAATCAACTCGTAGCTTTGTTTCATCAAATACTTTTGATTCTTCGGTATTGGTGAACAGAAATTTCTTCTGACGTTCTACAGTTCCGTGTTTGAGTGAGTAATATTTAAACTGCTATCATTTTTATTGCATCAGAAGTGGAAGATAACATACCGCTTACGATCCCGTAATGCCAAATGCATGAAAATAGCTTCATTTTCCTTTAGACACCCCCGGAGTTTTTACATCTTCTGAAGAACACATCTGACAAAGACCCTTACTTTCAGGTCCACCAGCGTTCAAGATGCACTGATCTGAGATAAGACTGACTACATGGTTGTTTTCGTGGATTTTCCCCATGTGTAACTTAGACACGAATAATATTCCCTTAATTCAACCATCAAGACATCCCTCCCCATAGGCAGATAGCCCTCAAGTTGCTTTGCCTTAATCAACTAACTTTAAAGAAAATTGAGGAGTTACTACTAAATTCTATATTTCAAACCCAAACTGCAACAAAAATGCTTGACTTATAAGGTATTTGTCGTAGAGCAAAACT